AGTTATTTTTTTTTTTATAAATTTATTTGTGTCATCCTCATGCAGGGGCTATGCTAATCTTCTCTGTATCGTTCCAATTTTAGTATATGTGCTGCTGAAGTGAGCACTACACAGTTATTTTTGTCCATGGAGGTAGCGAGGACTAATATTTGAGAAAGTATATTTACTATTATAATTTTATATTTGAAATATGAAAGGAAATCTGTGGCATTAATACAAATTTTAGAAAATAAAGCTAATAGAGTATTTGTGGCTAAGAAGAATATAATATTCTTTGTGGAGTAATGGAGGTTTAGACTCTCCAGAGGGTTTTGAGCTTTTTCTTAAGAGTGAGTTCATGAGTCAAAGTAATTAAGATTAGATTATAAAGACATTTTTTTTCAAGGGCAATTGAGAAAATTTGAATGAGAACTGGATATCAGAGAATTAGTAATTTTTCTTGGGTATTGTGGTTATAGAGGGAAAAGGCTTTATTCTTAGGAGTCACATGCTGAAATATTTATAGATGTTTTATGATGTCTGTAGCTTATTTCCAAATGATTCTGTAAAATGTATTTATTAAAACTTTTTATGGTTCTGGGAATAATTAAGACTCCAAAGAGGTTTCCCTTTTGTAGATCTGACTAAATCTTACTCTATCACAGTACCCTACTGTTGTTCTTTTTGGGCAGATAGAATTGGTGAAGTGATCTGTGCTATGCAGGTTACTTCAAAAAATAAAACCATCAGGCACTTGGGGCATTGTGCTATATTGCTGTATTTATATATCTAACTCTAGCGTATAGATTAGGACCATTTTTAGTAAGTAGAAAGAAAAAGGAGGAAAAATTTAAAAATGAGAAAATTCTGTCCATGGACCTAATTTTCTTTTTGTATTGGGGAAACCCACTATTAAAAAACTCCAGTAAATGTAGAGCACTGGAGTTTTTTCCAAAGGGAAAGAATGATTGGGGAGAATTACTTAACTGTACCTGTCTCTTCTATGTCTTTTTTCTTTTTTAATGGAAATTTAAGGCATACCTCCCATGGTCAGCTTCTGATCATTGTACTGTATCTCCCCATTCCCTCCCACCAACCGTTAGCTACTTCCCCCCAAAGGATCTTTTGCTACGTCTGGTTTTTTTTTTTTTTT